TTTTAACCCTTAAAACCCTTGGAGTGACCAGCATCTAATTTCTCCTACGTTACAGGAATACTGCTAAATCATTCATTACAATCATAAGAATAAAGGAAATGATATTAGGGTGCAAAGGATTAAGATTAACTTAAATAATTAAAGAAACTACAGAAAAAATGAGCCTAAAAAAATTCACACTTAATTGGGATTTACACAAGTGGCCATCAGATACTAATTGGACACCTGAGTCTCATGGATCACAGCTTGCTAGTTGCCTTGTTCACTGTTGCCATGGAAACATAATTTGTGATCCAACTACCACCGACTAACACCAGTGTGTTTGCAGTGATAAAAGCTGAAGCACTGCTAGCCAGAAAGAATACACTTTATCTGCCACATCTTGGCGAGAAACCAGTCTCTGTAAAGGTACATTCTCAATGAAGTTTGGTGGAAGATGTTTGCCACCTGTGAAGATGTAGTACAGTTAAAGCTTCATTTAGACTTAAAGTAAAAGAAAATTGTGAACTGCACTAACTTGTAAGTGGAACAGGGATTAAGGTAAATTTAATGTTAAAAATTGATTATGAAAGATTTTTAGACTAGCTTTCAGCCAGGAAAAGTATTCTTGTAGTAATTGTACATATCCACAATTATTAATTTCATTTTAAGTAACCAAATGTTTATCTTAGCCTAACTTTAGACTCTAAAAACTTACTAATAACAATGTGAATTTAAAAGCTTTCCACATGTCTACCAAATACAGAATGCTTTTTCTGAAACTTTGGATGCCAAAATTGTTTCTGGTCACCATAGCAATCAACACATTTGCAGCCAAGGGCTCTCTCCTGTTCTAAGCCTATGAAAATTATATGATATGAAAATTGCATTAGGTGCAGGTAAAATGTACAGATTTTCTTTCCCTGTAATTCTTTACCTTGTCTATTAAAACCCTCTGTGTCCTTCACAGCACCAGGTGCAACACAGTTTACCCTAATGCCATCTGGGCCCCATTCAACAGCAAG